GACCCTGGATGTTATGCCGGATGCTCACGAGATCTATCCTCAGGGAGATCGTGGCAACACTCCCCACGACGTCGCCACAGCAACATCGAATTCGGTAAATATCGCATGCCGTTTGTTACATCCGCAGGAATAGGGTTGTATTGCTGACCCTTTTGTGTTCCGTCTTATTTGTTTGTGCAGCCGTTGTTCTCTTCCACTACCACCGTCAGCACAAAGCAGGATCCTTTGGATGGACCTCACAAGCACGAAGCTGAGCGTCGGGCTTTGAAGAAACAGTCAATACGGTACCGGCGAAGACTCCCCGCTCTTTTCCTTAGGACGTTGTCCACGCACGCACGCTCCACTCTCCACCCTCACGACTCGTCACGCACATCACCAACCATCATGACGCCAGATATGACTTTAAACTTAAACGCCAGTTCCGTTTTGATTGATGCACCACACGCCACTGATGGCGATCTACACACTGATGGTGTTTCACCCGCTCTTTCCTTACTCTCGATCACGTCAACGTCATCACAATGTTCTCCCAATCACAAACTACGGAGGAAGCAACACATGCCTTTGCTCAAGCGTATGTCGTCGCTCTCGTTTTGCTCTCAATCACAACAATCTTCTCCCGCATATGATGATCGTGCCCAATCCCCACTACCACACGCAATGCAGGCGTCGCATGTGCCATCAACACCTTCTCCCTTGTCTACCCCTGTCAGTGCCGAACCTCCTGTCCGAATCGGCCACCACAGCCGACCATATTATACCGTCATTCGGAAAAACATGTCTCGGCCTAGCACACCTGGACACCTTCCTCGCACGCCCTCACCCATCCAATCCGACTATGACTACGCACCACGTGGTACGAAATCCCTCGATTGTGGGGAGCGTATGTCAGTACAGTTTGGTCGAGACTCGCGGCCCATGTCGATGGTAATCCCCGGGCAAGTGATTCCTGTGAGCATGTACTCTGGGTTCTCGTTAAGTGGCGAGACGGAGATGCGGATGAACTTGGCGAGGTGGCGGATGGAGGATGCTCCAGATGAGCCCGGGGACTACCTGTTCAAGGAGACGGGACGTTGTAGGAGAGGGATTTTGAAAGCCAGCGTGAAGAAGTTCGGAAGGGGCTTGCGAGACCTTGTGCTCGGGAGATCGTGATTTATGTATGGACAGCCAGCTGCAAGAACAGATCATGTCACGATACATATACCGGTCCTATCCAATAACCAGCTTGTCTCACTTGCGCCCTTCTAGGCATTAACTGCTCCCTATAAAGCATGGTAACGCCTCAAGGTAATGTCACAGTCCCACATCATGTCCGACACCAGCGCCCTCAACCATCATTTGATCGGCGTTCATGTAACCGTGCAGTGACACATGGTGGTGATAATCATTGAACCTAGTCTCAGTTAGCATGGTGGCCTTATATGAAGGCACCCGACATGAGGACATACCCGTGCTGGTGTCAACGATATTACTTCATCAACGTGGGCGAGTATTTATCAGTTCGAGCGATCTGCTTTGCGTTTCCTTGGGCTAACGTTAAATTTTGATTATCGTCCAAAGGTCCAGCGGCTCTGCGAAAACATTCGGTTGATTGCAGTTAAGGTAACTGCGGGTGCAACATGCGTAAGCTCGGATGCCAAGTGAAATAATAGAAACTTACCAAGATATACCCACCAGTGCGGTGAGTCTTTCAGGCTCTCTACTTGAGGTCAAAGGTCTCAATTTATAGGTTGGCCCAGGAGTACTGGCCGTAATCTAACCGATGGTCACTAGGGCATGCCATGGGAATGGCCGTGACAAACGGAATACTAAAACCGCGGATACGATTAGAATGGCCATGACATGCGGGTGTCTGTTGAGGAATTGGAGGGTGGAAGAAGGACTTCTGACCGTCAGAGTCGGAGCCAAGAAGTGTGTCAGCTCCCCGAACCGACCTCTCGAAATTGCTGCCGCGGAAGCAAATTCTGATATTTCCGAGCATATGTATTGTACAGTGAAGCAGAGCGAAAGCCTGAAATTTTTTCCTGCTACGTCACGGATCGGAAATGCCACGCGCCATGGTGAACAGCCGCCTCCGATATGGACACGTGGTCCTGAATTTTGGTTCATGTAATATCAGGCTGTCGGAGCCGTTGACTCGTTGACGGTGACTTACACGGACAACTTCGTACTGCAAGAGATACACCATTCATAGTCAGATAAGAACTGTAGCTGCTGGAGGACTTCTGGAAGATTTTTGAGTTGCTTTTTAAATGAGGGATGTACCCCAGTAACCGGCAATTGCTCTTAGGCAACCTTGCCTTAGGCTTTCATGCCGCGGCGAGTTCAAAACCCGGCCTGCCACCGCTCTCTCATCCCACTTTGTTTCCTGTCTTTTCTGACTGCTCAAGCTTCAAGAGTCTGCTTCTGAGCATCTGGCTGCCTGCGGTTTGACCACTTTTCTCATCATGATTGCACGGAAGATCCTTGATCGGGTAGACGAACCCCTTGATGCATCTGAGGAGCCGTACGGGAGCCTCCTTTTACATCCGCCGCCACTGCAAATCAAGACTAGTAGCATAACCAACATGAAGCGTGCTTTGCGGGTAGGTAATACACAAGTTGCTCATGACTCCCTGATTCATTTCAATCCTCCTTCAGGATCGTACCAACTCCATACTCCCACCAACAAACGTCATTTCTCTAGATATATCAGCCAACGTACAGTACGTGTTCTTCATGTTGCGCACAATTTCCCTTTCTGAATAGTGCATCGCTGCAACGCTTAGCACACCTGATTCCAGCCACCCGTTTGGTAGTCCCACCATGAAGCCTAATCGCTTCATCAGGTTGATTTCTAGTTGTGGATCCTCCAGAGACTCTTTACGTCGCGAATGGCGCTACTCGCTAGCCGAACAAGCATTGTCGGATGCGCTTAAGAGGTGCACAAGCGAGCGGTCGTCTCGAGAACTTCAGATTCTTGCTTTGGAAAAAGCGGCGTCGGCGATGAGTGCACGTGCGAATGAATCAAGGGAACGTGCTGCCAAGTTAAAAACTTCTCTCGCGGATAGAACGGTTGACCCAGACCGTTACGCTACCCTGCAATCTGACCGCTGGATGGAAGAACGACGGCAATGTGTAGCGGACCTGGAGTTGAGTCAGCTGAGTCAGCATCTAGCATCACTCAAGTCGAACAAAGGCCTGCCGGAGCAAAGAAGCCTCGGCGAGAATCCCTCACCCCTCAACAATGAGGCAAGGCGCCGGGCTAACCTTGTTCAATTTTTCGAGCGGTCTCCCACGAGAATATCATTTCACTTCCACCATAAGTGCAGGCCTCTTTTCGTAGACTGCACCTTCTCACGCCGGATGACCATGAGCGACGTTTCACCACTACGTCTGCGACCGTCGGCGGTTACTCTGCGTTTCACTGCAAAGCATGCCCTTCCAACATCAGTTCATGGTGCACCACCACCTGTTCCTGCCAGACGCTCTAGCAAACCATGGGCTGCAAGCGGACCCTCTAAACCATCCTCGCTATTTAGAACTACGCGTTATTCCACTTCTGAGCACTCTTCCACATCTTTGACACAGTCACCAAACCATGGACTGCAAGCGGACCCTCTAAACCATCCTCGCTATTTAGAACTACGCGTTATTCCACTTCTGAGCACTCTTCCACATCTTTGACACAGTCACCGACCCCTTCATCTCGCTTACTGCCATGTAATGACCACACTGATGACGTGACTCCTACGCGGCCACCGACACCTCCACTATCCATTACATCGACGTCCTCAAATGGAGCATCACGTGCGTCACGTGTACCATCACAGCCATCTCCAGAAGCGCCTTCTGGAGGCGGCGTAGCCACGATCTATGCGAGTACTTCTCCACGCTCGCATACAGAGATCCTTGCAGAACTAGACAAGGATTCAGTCCACGTACCAGAGTACGCAGTGAACCTGCTAGAGGGGTTCGATCTCATTCACCATGACCTTGCTCTTCACGAAAGAGATCTCTCGTCAAAGCGCAGGGAGGAAGAGCCAGCGGCAGTAGCACCCCCTCCATCGGAAGAATCAGACACTGGGCCTTACACCTCATTTGCTCTTGAACCAGGGCCGTTATGGTCCCACACATCACTCAATACGTCTTCTACACCACGGTCTCAGGTGCCAACACTGCACCCTGTTTCTTCCGGCTCATCAACCCCCTCAGGCATGAGCATGCGCACCGCACCGCGAACCCCCGCGTCACCCTTACGGCCAGCCTCGCTATTGTTCCTGATGCGAAAGCGCAAGGAGCAGTACAGCCCTGCGTCGTCGATGTCGCATCTAGATGAAGAAAGTTCTCGGGGGTCAAAGCGGAGGTTTTCGTTGTTCTCGAGGAAGTAGGCGATCATGAATTTACCTTTGGACTTTTAGCTGCATGTATTCTATGGCATGAACACATATCTCACACAGTTTTTTTTGCATGTTTAGTTTGTAAGCTTCTTATGGCTCGTCTCTAAGATTCCATGCCGGCCAATTCAAATCCGGTCTGATACTCCCTTTGAAACATCACTTGATATTTTGGTGGTCATGAAAGGGAGCTGGAATCGACAGTTTTTTTTGCACGTTTAGTTTGTAAGCTTTTTATGGTTCGTCTCTAAGATTCCATACCGGCCAATTCAAATCCGGTCTGATACTCCCTTTGAAACATCACTTGATATTTTGGTGGTCATGAAAGGGAGCTGGAATCGACAGTTTTTTTTGCACGTTTAGTTTGTAAGCTTTTTATGGTTCGTCTCTAAGATTCCATACCGGCCAATTCAAATCCGGTCTGATACTCCCTTTGAAACATCACTTGATATTTTGGTGGTCATGAAAGGGAGCTGGAATCGACAGTTTTTTTTGCACGTTTAGTTTGTAAGCTTTTTATGGTTCGTCTCTAAGATTCCATACCGGCCAATTCAAATCCGGTCTGATACTCCCTTTGAAACATCACTTGATATTTTGGTGGTCATGAAAGGGAGCTGGAATCGAGAACCCGTAGCACAGTGGTAGCGCGTGAGATTCCAGAGCTTCGGCTTGCATCCTCAAGGTCATCCGTTCAATCCGGGTCGGGTTCAACTATTTTTTTCATGAAGCCGGAGTTCGTGCAGTCACAGTCGTGTCACGAGAGGTCACTCTTTCGGATTCATAGGCAGAGAACTCGGAATGTAAACACTCACGACCGAAAGTTATATTTTCATGTTTTGTCAGAAAACATCCATTCAAGCACGTAGGGTATTTTCAGGATATTGTATAGTCTAGACGAAGTAGTTTGCAAGGTTTGTGGCAGGCAAGAGCGTAGTGCATGAGATGTGGGGATGTGGTGGTAACTTACTAACCAATAGCCATAGGCGCTGGTGACCCTGGATTCGTTTTTGACTACATAGTGATAGAACTCGAAGCGGCAGCTGTTTCTTCTGTCACTGTACCATGAGCATGTGCTAGTACTCATCATTTATTGACGTGCATCTCATGCTACTACTAGGGCTACTTCACGCAATTATTTATTTATTAGAGTGACCTATAGGAATTGTCAAAGAAATCTCTTCTGCTGTCCAGTTGCATAACTTTCCCGTTTTATTTCCCGAGACTATTCATATAGAGTGACCTAGGAAATTCGGAATGGTCAAAAAAATCGAGTATGTAATCTCGTTTTGCCATCCGGTTGCTTTGCTTTCCACTTTGATGAACCGTGGGATATCTATATCAACCCCCAAATCCTGAATCCCATTCGTATGTTGTAGTCGGAGAAGCTGTGACAATTCAAAGGGTCTCGAACAAGAACGAACGGGCGTGGAATTCCTATCTCTCGTGTCCAATCGAGTTTGCGAGCCCACACTTGTAAGTTACACAGTTCGCCGTATGCGACTCTGTTTGCAAATGGCGGCGAGGATGCTTATCGCCGGTTGATCTTTGTGCGATAGATCGGACGGGAGCTACCCGGTTGCGATTCTCGAACATGCTCTCCCATCCGTTCGGATGGTTTATGATTTTATTTGCATTTGCAGTTTATTCAGACACTTCACCTCAAGTACATCAAGCATACCAATCAATTTCTTCGCAGGCTGCCCCCCTGTCGCTTGAATGCTAATTCTGATTTACATAGGATCAACTGACAAAATCCCCGCGTCTAGCGACATTCATACTTTACGCCTTGACCTTTACCAGTCGGCATGATTCCAGGTTAAACTGCGTAACGAAACAGCGCGTTTGACTCAGATGATGTACCTTGTACATTAATGAGCAAAGGTTGCACAAGGTCGAGTTATGGAGCTCACCTGAAAAGCGGACTGGCGTCACCCATGTTCCTGAATTCGTCACTTCTCTCTTCAGTAATACCTTCAGCCTGACACCAGGCTTCCTTCCTTTTATTAAGCCGGTGGAAGTTCCACATAGAGAACAGGCTCGATAATAACCTGTGTCAAATAAGTGTTACATAGATAAATTTTTCATAAGAATGAAGCTGTACGCAAGAGAGAGGAATCCCATGATGGTGCCATGCCCAACGTTGAAACGTGGCGGATCGATATAAGTGAAGGATGCGCAAATGCTAAGGTAGCTTGAGCGGGAAAATCAGATTTATGGTGATGTGACGTACCCTCCGAGGCTACCGAGACCGATGACTATCGCCAGCGCAACTCCACGTTTTAAGTCGCCTCCTGCATTCGAGCCCACCCAGGCAAGAAAAACTGGGATTGATGGATATACGCCGAGAGCGGCCAGAAACACTCCAACGTACGATGGGCCTGGTCGTGTGCTACAATAAAGCACGATATATCCTATGAGAGCGACGGAGGAGCTACCAATGATATATGGGCCACGAAGACTGTGTTTGTCGGAATAGATACCGACTATGAGTGTAACACAACAGGCGACAACAAATGGTGGGACTGTGAGCAGCTGTGCATGAGTAGAGGAGTAACCAAGCTCGTTGATGATAGTTGGCGTGAAGATAGCGATAGCATAACCAGGGACAGCAAACCTTATGAAGAACTTAGTTCATGTATGCGAGATAACAGGAGGTAGTGAGTACCCCAGGGCGATGAGGACCTGGATGTAAATCTTGTAATCTTTCATGGCTTGCAAGACAAATTGGATACTGTAGTGGGCGGCAAGGTTATTGTCATCATGTTTGAGCATATCTAAGACGTATGCCCTCTCTGGTTCGGTCAAGAATGTGGCTGCATCGGGATACTAAGGAGTGTAGATCAATGAGTGAACGGAGAAGCAAATGCATGAACCCACATCTTGCATAGAGAAAAACGCGACACACGCAACGGCAACGGTGGCTGGTTGAATATGAACATCCGATTTGACTCAGGTCTTGAACGACTTACCAAGGCCTTCTAAGCAGAACTAGCGATGCACATGAAGTTAGTAGACTCTCAGTCCAAAGATATGCGAACTCACAATCCATTGCCAACCATGTAATCCTCCGATACTAATATGCGAATCAGTGATGGTTAGCAAGTGACAACAAATCGATTACCCATCCATATTTTCAATGCCATAACTGTGAAAATATGAAGGTCAACAGCGGGTTAACAAGAAATTAAGCGACTTACGCCAGCAACCCGCCAAAGGCGCCTAATAACCAAGAGAATTTTCAATAGAAATGGGTCTAGTCAAAATGAAGCATACCTGCGAGTGTCACTGCAGAAAAAAATATGGCAAGGCGTTTGGACCGTTCAGATCGCGGATACCAGTTACAAATGTAGTAATTCACTCCAGGAAGTAATCCTCCTTCCGCCAAGCCGAGGCACGCTCGAGCGCTGCCGTTAAAGTTATGATATCTGTTACCACCAGATACGGTTGACGTACATAACGAGAGATTGGTACGAATTCACGAGACACATAAGGGTCATCACAAGGCCCCACGCGACCATGATAGTTGGTACTGAGTCAATGTTAATGAGGAGTGAAAATAAGGCAGATCTCAGCTTACTCCAGCGCGATGGTCTGAATAGCTTGAGCGCGATGTTTCTACAGAAACAGTGAGGATAGACACATTACTGCTGATGTTACACGTACGAGGGGACCTCAGCAAGACAATGCGTGGGCTACAGGAGAATCTTAGTACACGATGGAACGAGCTCGATACGTGACGTACAAACAAGACGGCTACAGCAATGTTGTACTTTAAGCCGGTCAAATTCAGGTCTGTGGACATGCCGGCGACCTTTGCGTTTCCTGGGGATGTGCTTTAATCAGTGAAGAACACGGAGGGGTCCCAACCCACCAACGTTAACGCGGTCTCTGAGGCGCAAAATGTGAAGCAGTAATAGATGGTATCCTTGGGGACTCACAAGAACGACAACAAGTAGAATAACGTCACGAGAGGCAAGATGTGCCAATCGACCTTGCGCAGAATGCGCACTCGTTCTGCTGGATCAGGTTCCTTGACGATGTGCTTCTGTCCTAGTACGAGGGAGCTGCCCTTTTCTGACAGGTTCATGGTGTCCTGAATGATGGAAAGTGAGAGATCGACATCGCAGTGCATTTATCAAATCCAGAGAACCGGGTAAATCCCGTTTCGTAGTAAGCCTGGATGATCGTTATTTGCCAGCGTGGAGTCCTACTGCTCACCTGCATTCGCGTGATATCAGTATTACTCACAAGTCAGCTGTTCCCACTGGCAGGCCCCTGCATGTCGACAAACTCCGGACCGTTTCAAATACCCAAAATATCTCTAAGTATTGGCAATGGAGTAGTGATATGTGGCAGGCAACCAGTCGCTACCAGTGGGATGTGGGGTGGTTTCGAATGGGTACCTATTATAGGAACTGTGGCTCTTTCAAGCGGATCCTACATGGTGGCAGATCTGGGCGAATATCTTCCGCAATCGCGAATACTGTATTACTGGCTCGCCCGACTTGAAGGCACTAGGAGCAGGCATAGCTGTTCAAAGACGTTTAACCTCTGTTACATAATGTGCCCAAAAACAAATCTGGTCCACATATGGCATTCATTGTACATGTTTGGCGGAATTGGCGTAAGTATGAATAGAA